TGTTGGATTCTGATGTTGCTTTGTTTGGTTTGATCGAAACCAAACAACGTCTTTGTCGTTAGTTCAGTTGTCTCCTTTAAGGTGATTATCTCATCGATGGATTCCATGATTTCATTTACGCTGAGAGAGTTTCCAGTGTCGTTTTCCTTCCTTATCACTTTGCCACAGATCGATTCCGTAAATTTGGACAGGATAAGGCGTCTCCACATTCGATCTGCATTCATTTGTAGTCCCGTTTGCTCCAGGTGTGTGATGCGAGAAGAAATTGCAGCGAGGGTTTCGCGGCAACTCCTCGGATTTCCTTGAGCTCGCGGCAAACGTTCTATTTCATTAATCAAAATGTCTGCGATGCTTGAAGACTTGTCATAATGTTTCTTCAGTATGTTGACGGCAACGGCATACTTTTCTCCCAGTACTGGGACACTGCTAATTGAAGTGGCCGCTTTTCCCTTCAGAGCCTGCTTCAAAAATAAGAATTTCTCTTGGTCGCTCAAATCGTCGTCGCTGTGTATTAGCGATTCGAAAACGGACCAGAACGTATTGAACTCCATGTAGTTCCCAGCAAATGTAGGAACTTCCAGCAATGGACGCCTGACCCGAACGTTGCGTTCTTGCGGAGTCATTGCTGCATTAGACCATCCTTGACAGCTGCTATGGCTGTTGGTTACAGAATGGTTGGGCTGGGATGAGGTTATTAATGCGGTTTGTTGAAGTAGTTCCTCTTTTCTGAAGTCTATTTTGTTCAGCCATTGTATTGCTGAAATTTCCAGAATGTTCGACTCAGCCTCCAGATGTTTGTTTAGATCTAACATAAGCTTTTCGCGTTCCTTGTGTTCTTGCCGACCATTAATTGTCTCGATGGCTTCTTTGGCGCAAGCGTCATGGAACTGCTTCGCTGAGTTGATACTTTTTGTGAGGTGGTTCAACAGGGCAGTTTTTTCCCTAATGTACGCTTTGCATTCCTCAATTTGTGGAGGGAATGAAAATCCTTGGTTGAACTTTGTGATTTCTGGCTCATTAGACCTGAGCAGAGCACAAGCGTTCGTGATCTTTGTTTTGAACACTTGAATTCATATCACAGTGATGATAACGTGCTAGTTCAAACTATTTACCTTAGGACGTTCTATAGATGAGTATCTCTTGAAATGATACCGCAGGCATGACCTAGCGGTATCATAAGTGTGCAATCAAGTAGGTAACTTAAATATTGCTGTTGGCGCGGTCCACCCTTTCATCCCCCGAGCTTGAGTACCGCCACTGGCCCCCCACGGTCCAGCGGCGACACGGTATCTGAGGACCGCCCACATTTTCTGTATATAAACCCCATTGAATGCATTATTATTGTCGATTCTTACACTAACACGTCGTAATAAATATTACACGTCACTGGTTAAGTCTTCCATTGGCTCACTAGCCAAATTGGTGCATCGGCCTAGGGTAGAAACCCACAACCTACGAAATCGTCTGCGCTTGTTCTCTCACTGAGAAACAGACGATCTTCTTTTATTGCTTTCCACCAGTTGGAAACCAATACAACACCGATTTTCTTTCTAATTCCTCCCTGAGGATTTAGAAAATTAGATAAATTGTCTACGCCTGTTCTCCCCAGTGAGAAATAGACAATTTACCTTTGTTGTTTTTCACCAGTTGAAAAGCAATACAGTTCCGATTTTTTCCACAAGTCCTCCCTGAGGATCGCAAAAATCGGTCAAATCGTCTGCGCTTGTTCTCTCACTGAGAAACAGACGGTTTGTTTTCATTGTTTTCCATACCAATTGGAAAACAAAACAAGTCAGATTTTCAAAACAAGACCATACCAATTGGAAAAGTCAGATTTTCAAAACAAGTCCTCCCTGAGGATCAAGAAAATCGGACAAATCGTCTGCGCTTGTTCTCTCACTGAGAAACAGACGGTTTGTTTTCATTGTTTTCCACACCAATTGGAAAACAAAATAAGTCAGATTTTCAAAACAAGTCCTCCCTGAGGATCAAGAAAATCGGACAAATCGTCTGCGCTTGTTCTCTCACTGAGAAACAGACGGTTTGTTTTCATTGTTTTCCATACCAATTGGAAAACAAAACAAGTCAGATTTTCAAAACAAGTCCTCCCTGAGGATCAAGAAAATCGGGTAAATTGTCTGTATCCTTTCTCTCAGTGAGAAACAGACGACTTATCTCAATTGTTTTCCACACCACTTGGAAAACAAATCAAATCAGATTTCAACGCCACTCCTCCCTGAGGAAGCCAAAAAAGAATAAAAAGACCCGCGTGGCAGGATCACATCTACTGCGGAACCAACGAAAACTTTAAAAAGTCGTTGTGACGCTCTAAGCCTCTACAAGTTTGACACATCAAATCAAACGCATTAGCTATAGAAATGGCCGAAAT